CAATAGCCCCACCACCACGATATCAAACGGCCATCGCAAACTGCCACCACTGCATGTGACAAAACCCATAATAAATCCTTATCTATGGATGAATTTAACTTGGAAGCGGAACCCCTTCAATAATTTAACTCCACAAAATATCATTTCATAGTTCGTTTTCCCATTTAACAAGTTAAAATTAATAAAAAAATTACCTTTATCTGTAGATGTGCAGATTCTCCACTTTGACTTGGCATAAGAGGGAAAAAATGGATGTAAAATAGATTGTTGCCAAAAGGGGGGAAATGGGCTAAAAGGGGAAAAAAGGGAAAATAAAGGGTGAAATGTATTACTGCCAAAAGGGAAAAAATGGGAAAAGGAGGATCGTTATTTCTTAGGTTATGCTACTTTGTTAATGTAATTATTTCTTGTATCCATTGGTTACAACCAAAGTATAACACAGTAATTGTAGTACAACTTTGGAGTGTCGTATCCACAGAAAAATGGGGAAATTACTCAAATGATCAAAAGCTAGGGTTTTATTCGTGATTTGTGTAAAAACAATTTATCAATTTGAATGAATTATAAATATCAATGTGCGAAATAATGAAGCGCAAGAATTCCCTCGATTGGGTCGGATCAATCAACGTCAATAATGCAATCATGTACTCAATTAAAGATATTTGTCCTAATACTTTAATTGGAAAACATATCATTAAAGCCCAATTTAATTCTATGGTAATTCTAAAATCCAGATTTCCTACAACACATTCCCACTCTAATCTATTGAAATCAGATCCAAAAATAATTATATACATAGGACATATAATGGTAAAGAATCACACTAATAAGATTGCATGAAATTGAAATTCGACAAATAATTTAATTCTACAATAGACGAAACATGATTAAATCTATGATAAACTTAATAAACATTAAACAAATCTCACAATAATGCTTGGAATTGAAATTCAATAATTATTTTTATTAATCAATAGAAAATTTTTGACTGAATCCATAACAAATCTAATGAGAATTGAAATAATCTCAAAACAATATCATGAAAATAGGAAATCTAAACCTTAAAATTATTTAACAATGAAAATTAGAATTACATATGTAAAAAAATGTTAAAATCACCGATACCATTCGAGTTCCTTTGTGGCATCATCGAGTCCTGAGTTCCTCATAGTGTTCTTGAACTAAAAACCAAAGAAAATTATGCTTAGAGGAGAAAATTAGCTTTCCCCCTCGAATTAGGATTTAAAATCGTGTGAAAATCGCGTTTCCATAAGTGGTTGCATCAAATTAGGAAACTGAATATTCGGGTACCAGAATGAACCATGCGTACGCATGGTTCTAGTGGTACCTATGCACAGTAGGCTTGTTTAGGTCTTAGTAGTGAATTTTTAGAATCTCGTATACACAAGGCCTGTACGCCTATGCGTACGCATAGTATAAATTTTTTTCTGCCGGACAGCTTTCAATATTTTGAACATATCTTCTTCTACCGATGTTCGATTGATGTGATTTAAGTTGCATTAAAAAGCTAACTTAAAGGACTACAACTTTTCTCCAGATATTATCTTTCAATTCGATCGTTTGTCATGTCGGAAAAGGGTCCCAATATGAGGCTAAAAATCGATGCGTAACTTTTTCGATTGGGAATTGATGTGTGATCATACTTTTGACAATATTTCATCCCTTTAACCTCTTTCCTCATCCACTTAACCTCTAACACTTTCGAATCATCATCATAAGGTTAGGAACAAGTTTGGAGTATTTTCACTTCAGTCCTTGAACTTTCATTTTCTTCCACTTTAGTCCTTTTCCACATTTTTCTCCCAAATTTCACATTTTCTACCAAAATGCAACCTAAATCAAAAATAAGTATAATGAGTGTATTTTGGTATTAAATAATCACACAAATGAAATAAATAAAAAGAGAAAAATATTATATTTTACACTATTATCATCCATTAACATGTTCATATGATTTCTATTCATTGTGCGAGCAGGTGGATTCTGGGTAAAGAAATTTTGGAAATGGGTTTGAAAAGGTAGTGGTGGCAATTGATGCGGTGATGGTGGAATGGTATTTTTCTAGTTTGATTGGATTTTGAGATGGAGGGTAGAAGAATAACAGTTAGTCTACGGCCATGTTGTTGATGGTGTGGGAGCGAAGCTAAAGGGATAAAGAAGAAGAAGATGGTGGTGTCAGATAGATTTATTTGAGACTCTCTCTCTCTCTCTCTCTCTTTTAATATTTTCAAGGTTTATAATAGGAAAATGAAAAGTTACCAGTTTGCTCATTTAAAAATTGTTAAAATGTGGTCAAAAATATATTTTCGATCAATTGAAAAAATTTTGGATGGAAATCATTCAAAAGGGCCTCTCATGCAATGATTTTGGAAGGTTGGGGTGATGGCTACAACGATTGAAAGGTTTTGAGAAAGTCTATTGGTGTTTTAAAGGTTTATGACTTCTACTACAATTATCCCCGTAAAAAATGCATTTTGGGATTGATAGAGCCAAACATAGGCTACATTTTGTTATAGTTTAAAGAGAATCGAATCAAATCATGAACAAGTAATTTTTTTTTTTTTGTAGTGTAACCAAATGGTTTTTTTAAGATATGGAACCAAATGGGGACCGAATCATTCTATTTTAATTTGGCTTTAGTTTTAGTTCTTAAAGTTTTAGAGTTGCACCAAATCCATAGAATAGTAATAAATAAATATCTAACAATAAATAAACATCAAATGTTCAACAAATTCAAATTATCAATCACCAAGATCACAAAAAGTCGAAATTAACAAACAAAATATAGTCATAATTTGAATACACAAATCAATTTTCATTCCCATACAAAAGTTTGTTTAACAAGGAATAACAATGATTCACTAAAATAATTGCAACAGTTTTGACGATACACTCACAATAAAGGATGAATTATGCAAAACTTTTACAGGCAACCATTAAAATGTTTAATACTCTATGAATGTTTTATTGGATTTTTTCTCTATTTGTGAAAAACACGAATAGTTCATCAAACAGTCGAGGTGAGAAAATAGTTTAAATGCTTTTAAAGTGACCCATCAATTTCATTTTTCAATCTTGAAAGACTCTCCCCCATTGTTATGATGAAATATGGTGCTAGTACGTCATGACATTGTGTAAATTAAAAAAGAGTGAGAGAAATAATTCAAATGAATACAAAATTAAGGTATGTACAACTAATGAGCAGCCGACAACCAATGAGCAGCCGCTAATGACTTAGATCTATATATATATAATTAAAAATTAAGTTTAGTTCTTGTTCCGATTCTTAATTTGAAAAATCAAAATCATCATTTTATTTGGAGAATCGAATTGGATTGTTCAATTTGATTTGAACATTTTGTCCACTCCTAATTATCTTACTCAACAACTTAAAATCTCATCAAAAAGATATTTCTACGATAATCTTCGAAAATAAGAATGGAGAAATTTCTTTTTTCTCTAAGCCCACATCCAACAAATTCCGTAGTTGTTTTGGTGGGAGGAGGTGGGGTTGGGATGAAGTGGAGAAAAAGAATATTTTCGTTCTTCTTAATTATTGTTTTTTTATTTAACTACCTATTTGGTATAGATTAAAATTATAATTTTAGTAAGCCTTTATTTGATATTCATTATTTTTAAAATATATTTTTCTCCATCAATATACTATTCTAAAATGCAGTCTTTACCAAATGATGAGGTTCAAATAAGGGCTAAAATTTAATAAATGTTGATGAAATGTGAGTTTAAAAGTTGCGGGTTTCGTAAAATATATGATTAAAATTTTGATCCTATCCATTATCCAAAAAATGCATCTTCCCCCCTCTCTCTCTCTCTTCAACATCACATACTCCAATAAAATAATATTATGTGTAAACAAAAAATATTTCCTTATTTTTTAATCATACATTTAAAAAAAAATTACTATTTTAAAATACATTTTTTCCAAAATATTTTTTAATGAAGCCCAAACAGAGCTAATTGTTGACTTTCATTTGAAATTTTCATCACCTTCTACATCAAACAAGTGTACTCTATATTTAAAGAGAAAATTAACAACATTATTTTGATAAACTTTTAGCTTGGCAATTGAAAACAAGGGTAAAAACAAATTTGTTTAATGAGGACCTAAGTGTCACTAGAACGAAAGTTAAGGGATATAAATACTTTGATTTGAAGTTTGGGACCAAGATGCAACACAACTCAAAGTTGGGTATCAAACGGCTCATAAGACGACATTTCAATGTTTCTGCCATTTGAAGTTTGAAAAAAAAAAAAAAAAAAAAAAATTGAGGTGTGATGTAAATTTTTTTCCGTAGATTATTTTTTCTTTATTTTTATCAAAATAAATTTTTTTCTTCATTTTTTTAGCCACACATTCTTTATTAAATTAATATTATACATAAATTAATAATTTTTCTTTAATTTTTATTTACACTTTTTCATCGATCTACTATTTTAAAATTCATTTTTTCATAAAAATACGTGTCAAACACCTTCTTATAATTACAAGTGAATAAGTCAAATTTGCAACCAAATGCTGCAGCCTTGCAGTACTAGTAACATCCCACCAAACACACCTACTCACAAAAGCACGCATTACACACACGAGTTAATTGTTTCAATGGTTACTAAATTTAGATTCATATTTTTGATTGGTCACCGAAATTTAAAATGTCCAATTTTGGTCACTAAACTTAGCTTTATATCTTCGGTTGTTTAATGAAGTTTAAAATATTGTACATTACTCTCTATAAATTCGATATTTTTCAAAATTCAATATTTATACTAGTGAGCAACGTGTAATATTTTTCAAAATTTAGTAATCAAAATTTGGCATTTTAAATTTTAGCAAGCAATTGAAAATATAAACCTAAGTTCAATGAACAAAATTTGATATTTTAAATTTTAGTGACCAATCAAAAACATGAACATAAGTTCAATGACCATGATAACAAATAATTCTACACACACCAAACCCCCAACAGAAAAACCAAAACACAGCCAAACCAGAGGAGTAGATCAAGTTAAAAAGCTTATCTTCATCTTCTCCATTCTCCACAAATGGATTCCAAAATCCAAATTCATCCAGAAAATCCTGAATCTCAAGCCCCTTCAGAGGACCAGAATCAAACCCAGATTCCTTCCATTCCTATAGCTTCAATTTCTCTATCACTTTCCACTGTTCTTCCTTCCCATTTTCTCTCCCCTTCCCAAAAAATCGCTTCAATCTTCAATCCTCCAAATAAGGTGAAAATCCCATCTCAAATTTCATCGCTTTCCCACCTTTCAATTTCCTCCTCACTTTCACCTGGGAAGCCATTTTTCAAATCGACCATTTCTGCAAACCCACTTCAAAGCCCACTTACTCTAAATCCCCTTCGGCCCTCTGAGCCATCCAATGCCGCCGCACTCTGTCGTGCCTCCATTGTTTGGTTCCGGAATGACCTACGGGTCCATGATAATGAGTGCCTTGCTTCTGCCCATAACGAGTCCATGTCTGTGCTTCCAGTTTACTGCTTTGATCCACGGGATTATGGGAAATCTTCGTCGGGATTTGATAAGACCGGCCCTTATCGTGCCACTTTTTTGATAGAGTCCGTTTCTAATTTGAGGAAGAATCTGCAGGCACGCGGGTCGGATCTTGTGGTCCGGATTGGAACGCCCGAGAGTGTGCTGGTGGAGCTGGTCAAGGCTGTGGGGGCCGAGGCAGTGTATATGCACAGGGAGGTTTCTTACAACGAGGTGAAAGCAGAGGAGAAGATCGAGACGGTGATGAAGGATGAAGGAGTAGAGGTGAAGTACTTCTGGGGAAGCACATTACACCATTTGGAGGATTTGCCATTTAAGTTGGAGGAAATGCCAACAAATTATGGGGGGTTTAAGGAGAAAGTGAAGGGATTGGAGGTGAGGAAGACGATCGAGGCGATAGATCAGATGAGGGGATTGCCGGCCAGAGGGGACGTGGAGCCTGGGGAGATACCTTCATTGGTGGATTTGGGTCTTAACCCAAATGCAACCATGGGTCAGGTATGAATTTTGGTTTGCTAGATGATTTCTTGATTCTGTGTGAATGAAATAGGAGCTGTTGGTTTTGATCTGATAACGTGGAGCTTTAATGATTAATTTATGAAATGTACAAGCTTATATGAATGCACAATTGTTACTTATTAATTGCTAAGAGTGCATATTATTGGTTCTTGAGGGAAATTTATATTTTTCCCACTTTGGAGTTTTTGATTTACTAGAGCAAAACTAACATGAGCGAGTTGTGTTTGCTAAAGATATAAAAGTTTGAATCTTCCAGTTTAGCAATGAATTGAATGGAGTGGTAAAACATGATTCTTGTAGTTGACCCAAATTTGTTGATAATAAGGTTTAGTTAGTTATTAGAATTGTTGCTTCGGTAGTGCAAAGAAGTAAAGTAATGAAAGAGGGGCAGTGGAAGTTGCGAAACTTCCATAGATTTAGCAATGAATTGAATGGAGTGGTAGAAAAGGATTGATGTAGCTGACCCAAATTTGTTGAGAATGAGTTTAGTTTGTTGTAAGAAGTGTTGATATTGTAAGCAAAGAAGTAAATTAGTAAAAGAGTGGCTGGGGAAGCCGTGAAATTTCTATAACCTGGAGGAGTTGTCGAGTGGTGCCATTTGCACCATTTGTTTTAGTTTCATCTGATTTATGTACTGCATTACCAAATTCGGGGAAGTGCAAAGTTTATACATTGTCGCTATGAAGTAGAGAAAGAGGGGCAGGGGAAGCTGGGAAGTGACTGGAACTTCGATGAGTTACTGCGTAGTGCTTTTACCATCACTCTTCTCAGTTCCTATACGTTTATGTACTGCATTAAGAATTTGGAAAAAACCAATAGTATACGCGAATCTCGTGGCACACACAATGAAGGGAAATTTTGACAAGAGATGAGCAATGCGTTTATTTTGTCATTGATGGCAATCATACAGTAAAACTGATCAAAACATCACTAGTAGGAAGTCTTTGCGATAATATTGTTAAAACCTGTTTCACCGTGGCATAATATGTCAAAAAATATTGTAACTAGTTGAGATAGATATGGGTTTGGAAAATAATTTAAGAGCACATCTGAGTGATTCTCAAACAATCATTTTGAACCACATTTTCTCCAAAAAAAATTTAGTTTCACGTTTCATAACTTTTCCCTAACTTTTAATTACACATTCTTTAAAAAAATATATTTCAAATTCCTCTCTCACACAAAGGTTAAATAAATAAATTTGTCCATCTTCTACGAGCTTACAACTTTAGAAGAGATGATTCAACATCGTATCTTGAGTTCAAGTCTCATTGTCACTCAATTGTGAAAAATTGTGCACAGGTAAGCTTACACTGCGAGGGCATGTTGAACAATTTAAATAAATAAATCTGTCACTTTTTTAATAGTTTAAACTTTTAGATGAGACATGTTAACAATGGGGATAGAGTTTAACTGTTTTACCTTTAAATTAACATTATATGTTCCCATCTTGTAGAATGGAAAACTAGCCGCTGATGCTTCTCTTGTGGGAGGAGAGACTGAAGCATTGCAGAGGCTGAGAAAATTTGCAGACGAATGCACGGCAAAACCACACAAGGGATCTGAGAATGGGGCCAATGAGAGCATATTTGGCGCAAACTTTTCTTGCAAAATATCCCCTTGGCTTGCTATGGGATGCATTTCTCCTCGCTCCATGTTCGATGAGCTGAAGAAGTCTACTTCAAGGTATGATAAAGTAACTTATTCTGTTTCCTCTTGTTTTATAAGTTCCACGAGGTGGATGCATGTTCCTCAATTTAATGGATGCCTTGTGATTTTCAGTCTAATCTCTGGTTCCTGCAACAAGAAAGATGGTGGTAGTAGCTCATCAGATACTGGAATGAACTGGTTGATGTATGAGCTTCTGTGGAGGGACTTCTTCAGGTAAATTGATACAAATCAAGCCTTTTTCAACATTCTTAAATTTAATATATATGTCAAGTATCATGACAGAAAAATAAGAAGATATAGTACTCTGATACTCTCCATTCTCCATATCATATAGAACCTTGTGACTATGGGCGTAAAAAGTGCTGGGCAGGCCTGCACGGCTAAGCTTGTGGCCTGGCACGCTTTGTGCCTAATATTGTTTATTTTATGAAGAGACCGATGCCCTTGCATTACTTAAGAAGCCCATATATTATCTTTAGCCAGCCAGCCGGCTTCTGGATTGCAACTGTATGGAATCTGCACTGATATTTTTGTTTCTGGCTTGTCAGATTCATTACCCGGAAATACAGCTCTGTGAAACAACACAGTGATGTTCCGGTGACAGCTTGTTCAGGTGCTGCAGCCTAAGGAGAGTGTCGATGAAAAGTAAACATGAGGTTTTCTTTTGTATCCTACTGTTCAATCAGGTCTGTAGCTTTTCGGTGCTGGAATGGAGCTCTATTATTAGACAGTTTCTCACTGAAATTGTGTTTGGCTGCAAAAATAATGCTGAACATAGTTGTACCATTATTGAGGCTGTTAGTTTCTGACTTTTTGGTGTTTATTTGCGTTGTCTGGAAGCAGTTCATTTGTGTTCGGTTATTTATGGTATGCCATATGTTTAAACAATAAGAGAAGATTGTATCAATAAACTATTGTCCATTTTCTAATCAAACCCATGCAACCGAAATTTCGTGTCTCATTGGTCTTTTTCATTTCGAATTAGCAAAATCAATGTCTCTTTACATAATATTGTAGCCTTTTTGTGAATCGGATTATTTTAAGTTGCACAGCATAAGGTTGAAATAGGAAAGCCCGTGTTTCGTACCCTTTTGAAATATGAAAGTTGAGTTTTGGAAATGTTAAAAGGTTCCGAGTTCAACTTTCGGTTTCTAACAAATAAACATTTGAAATTTCATTCTTTGAATGCAAGAACGAAATAAATGTAAAAAAATCATAAATGTCTCACATAATAATGTTTAAAGACACATGCATCTCATAGTTTTCGAACTATTTTCCTCACTGGAATCAAAGATTCTAAAGGAGCTTTAACATTAAACTCCATAATCTGCAACATCTGAATCCCAAGTCTGTAAAATGTACTTGCATACTAAGACGGCAAAATGAGTAGATAAATGGAGATGGGAAGTTGGAACTCAAATGATGCCAGAAACTCTCAAAGATGACAACACGACAAAAATAAGCCATAGTAACATGAAATACGCACAAGTAATCCATGCCCAGAGTTTTGGACCTCCGAGTTCAGCACCAAAAACAAGACGCCTTAATACCAAAACCCCGATACAGCCCACAGAAGTCGAGAAGAAAACGAGCAAAGAGAAGCTAAGTCCCTCTGCATTCTCTATCTGCAACGGTTCCCTGTATGCTATGATGTTGTACATTGTGTCGATGAGCCATGGTATGCCAATGCCCACATAAATGTTCACGGAATTGCTACAAGAACAAAAATAGCTGATATATCAGTACATTCTTTGCAGCCAAATGGACTGAATTGCATACTTCAAGAATTACAACATGTTTGCCTAAGCTTAGAAGTTGCTTGAATTTATTGCAGTGACCTCTTATATCCGAACTCGTTTGGATAAGTTACTTTTTTTCTCATTTAAAAGTAAAAGAAGTTACTTATTTTGACAATAAGGTAGATGTTGCTTTCAGAATAAGCAAACTTATTTCAAACTTAACCCAACAAAAATAATTGTTTATTTTAAAACTTGTGTATTTACTTGTTCACTAATTTTTTAAGAGTAAACTAACTTGCACTTAAATTTGAATTCTATAATTTCATCCAATGGACAGGGAAAGCATGGTTTAACAATTTCATTGACTGAAGTTATGATGACAGTAAAAATCATATCACGTCTGAGAAAATGAAAATAGGGTGAAATAGAGAAATCTCCATGATAGAATCGGATAACGACTTGCCAACTTATGTCAAGGACGCTGAAAACTCTACAAAATGGACAGTTTGGACAAAGCCCATTGAATTTCAAAATAATCTGTATGACTGTCAACAGCTAACTTCAACAACTTCGCCAATGGTGGAAGTAATAAAATCTGCTGAACAATTTCTTAAAAGGACATCAAAATCAACTTCCAATAAAGCATATGGCGATCAATGCTAATATAACCATGTCATGAAATGTTAAGGGATAAAATCCCACACAATTAAAGATGAAAATATAGATCTATTTATAAAGGATTGTGCTACTTCTCTTAATAAGGTTGACATTTTAAGATGAAATCCAAGTCTTAACTTGGTATCAGAGCCCATTAAACTCCAACGAGCAATTCAATCCGATTAAGACTCAATTAATGAGCATACGGATTCAAGATTGGTCTGTCATCCAACCCTTTCTACAAACATGCTATAAATGCACACATGGTTAGAACACATACCTGCAAGTGATGTTAGCAATTGCAGAATCAGCTGTTATCTGCCTTTCTGCAGCAATCTTGCTTGCAACTAGATCCGGCCATGAGGTTCCAGCGGCCAATGCTGTGAATGCTATGACATAAGAATTGATACCTGCAAAAAAATATTGACTTGAATATAAACACCAGCTAAGTTTCATTAAAGGATTAATGAAAGTAACTATTAGCAAACATGGATCCACAGGGAATTTCAAAACCTGTGACATAGCTTATTAGATCAGTAAGCTTTGTTACAATGTAAGCAATTCCGCTGATGAAGAGTAGAGAGCAAATGAAGGCAATCCACCCATGTGCAATCTGGTAAGGAGGTACAAAAGCAAAGAGTAATCTCCAAGGTGCAAGGAGCAACTGCCAGAAAAATTTTGCAGCCCATACGTATATATTGTTCAGTTTTCTTGATTCAGGACTTTCCAACTGTTTAAAGAAGGAAATTATTTAATAAAAATTGCAGCCAACTCATTGATGGCACAGAAAGAAAGACAGAACTGTATATGGTGCAGAGCTGGTGCATGCACTTCCACAAAAGAAAAGAATATCTATATCT